CAGCAAATGGCGCTGAATAGACGATAGTTACAGGCAGCGTGTAAAAATTTCAAAGAAGCGCGTAATCCTGACGCATGAGTAGCTAGTAGCACGACGTACGGACGAAAAAACGCGCCGTTCGGACCACTACGTTAGCTCGCTCCAGCTAGTAGGCGAATGTAGGGCATTTATGGCGAGCGGGAGCGAGCACACAATGACTGTATCTGCACTAGCCATCCTAGCCTATGTAAGTACAACTTGCAGCTTTGGAACCACGAAGATTGGGAAGACGTACAGCTCATCGAAGAGCGCAGCGAATGCCGCCGAATGTTTCTCGCTAGCATCGAGGATGTATGGAATAAAGAAGCGCGTAATGCAAACGCATGCGCAGTTGGACGACGTAGGGTCGTATCACGCCGTTCGTGTGAACTTTTACTGAACAAAAGAGTCTCCCTGGTTTCCACCTTCTGTGAAAAATAAAACATGCTATGTTACATTGTTGCTGGAAACTTGAGTGTGACTTCATAAAACTCAGTTATTTCAAGTCGAACTCAAGCTAGTGTCACTAACTAAAATTTTACACATGGAACTTGAAAAGCATGAAGTAAGTCCCTGGAGGGCACTTCTCATGAAGCACAGGTGTGAGAATATGTGCACCTGAGGATTTCAGGAATGAGACTTTACCATTGGTGTAAAATATCTTATGACAACACAGATTTGTTGAGTGTATCATGAACAATGACTTAGGTATTACAGTCTGACATCTAGGCAGTACATAAGGGCTAAATTTAGAAATGTTACTAAACATGGAACTAAACAATTGGGCCCAGTGTAAAAACGCAAATAAGATTCCGTTTTCAGTACATCTATAACTACTGCCCCTAGGAAGCACATGAAACTTTGATAACCCTAATACCATGACAATCATTACATTACCATAATAATTATCGTGCCAGTCAACAACTCTCCCAAAGGATTTTTTAAAATGACTGGGGGATTGTGGGAGGTGTCACCTGCAGTGTTGTAATAGAGACACAGTTGATAATTAACAGAACCATGCATAGCAAGCATTGTTTTAGAAAGGCAAGTCACAAAGGATTTTTTAAAATAACTGGGGGATTGTAGGAGGTGTCACCTGCAGTGTTGTAATAGGGACACCGTTGATAATTAACAATTTATCAGAACCATGCATAGCAAGCATTGTTTTAGAAAGGCAAGTCACAAAGGATTTTTTTAAATGACTGGGGGATTGTGGGAGGTGTCACCTGCAGTGTTGTAATAGGGACACCGTTGATAATTAACAATTTATCAGAACCATGCATAGCAAGCATTGTTTTAGAAAGGCAAGTCACAAAGGATTTTTTTAAATGACTGGGGGATTGTGGGAGGTGTCACCTGCAGTGTTGTAATAGGGACACCGTTGATTAACAATTTATCAGAACCATGCATAGCAAGCATTGTTTTAGAAAGGCAAGTCACGTTAATGTGGCAACAATAATAAATTAGGTTATACAGGCACAAATGCCCTAAACACTTACCATAATACATTTATTTGACAATGTGTGGTCATTACTACATATTAGGCCACACAGAGTTAATTGGTTGTCTCCTGATGAAGCTAATTCTACTTCCAATGGAAGTAATACAAATGGTGAAAGAGAATCTAAGCTGGGGTGTCTGTGCTCTCGTGTTTCGTGTGTGTGTGCATATATAGGATCTTCGTGCATCCAGCAAATGTCCCCTAGTGGCTCTCCCACAGAATGGAGTGCAATGTACTCTCACCTTACAATAGCATTCCTCAAACTACCTATGTAGCCTTGCGGTAGCTATTACAGTTAGAGCAGGCAGACAAAGATAAATTGCACAATTGCCACACACGAAACTCAGCACATGTAGTGATCAGGTGCAAAATATTGACTTGCCATACTTTTCCCCATTGTGTGCCCTGCCTGAATGAAAAGGAACGGCAAAATGTAAGGTAAGTCACGTTTTCCATTAAACATGAAATAGATACAGCTTGCTATAATCGTCTGTGAATCTGGTAATCTCACAAAAAGACCATATCAACACTCACTCTTTTTCAAAGATGTGCTAGACACATGATTGTGTTGGCCAGATTCAAACTATTGAATTTCATTTAGAAGAGGAATGTGGTCGTTTTTACAGTGTGCATTTGTAGGATATAGCATTCTTGTCAGTGTAATATGAGACAAGCGTGGTGGACTATATAAGATATTCCCCTGCAGTGACTGTGAGTTCATGCAGTAGTCAATAGGTCTTGTACACTCAATTCCATTTGTGCAAATGTGGAAGTTTGTTATGTTGTGTGTGCAGAGAAAGCCATCAGTAAGGAAAGAAATGCAGTTCTTCGTGGTCTTCAGCCTCCTGATTACTCTCTGCTGCAGTGAATGCAATGAAAGTTTCCCAGGAAGGTAGCGTATTCAGTATCAGTATTGGGTAAATACAAGAGCGCTTAGCTACAGCATGCAAGCTGCGCTAGGTCTTTAGCTAGAGCGAACATTAGCTGTACGGCATTTCTATAGTGCAATACTCCTTATTTCAACTGGGATCTTAATTGCACTGGGCCCAACCTTTTCAACGGCATTTGCAAAACAATAGATTCGTGATGTAGCTATCGAGAATTCAATATTATGCGGAAGGTTTGTTGTACAGCAGAGGCATCGCGTATGGAAAATATTCATACGAATACTTGCATCAATCTTGAGGCGGATTTTAGAACGAAGTCATTATTTAATGGGGAACTTTTTTCAGAAACAGACCTTGCTACATCATCCGTGTGCCGAATATCTATAAATAGCAAAACACATAATAACGTGTCGGCAGGATGGCAAGCGGTAGTTATGCGTGACGCTCGCGCTATTAGTATACGCAGCATTGCACTAGCTAGTTACCCTTCTCACACGGTATAAACAGTAGCTATATACTACGGACTAGTCCGTGGGTCCTTATGAGGTAAATCCGGTCTCAGTACACAATCAGGGGCGTATATAGACACAAATCAAAACGGGGCTTGAGACTTTTTGTGGTGCGCACGCGCGCAATGATATATCAGAGAGTCGGTAGACTCTCTATATAGGGACGACACGGGTGAAATCTCACGTGATCCGCGTACAAAACGACTAAAATCTCGGTGAGAATCACTCCCTAGGCCTTCAAAACATACTAGCAATAGTCTACGGGCCCATATCTACCTATACATGCAATGGATAGATTCCTCAGTCGCCATGTGTCGCATAGATAGAAGCAATGGATAGATTCCTCAGTCGCCATGTGTCGCATAGATAGAAGCAATGGATAGATTCCTCAGTCGCCATGTGTCGCATAGATAGAAGCAATGGATAGATTCCTCAGTCGCCATGTGTCGCATAGATAGAATGTATATTTATAGTCACATATTTATTTTGAATAATCTATTTTTAACATTTCTATTTCTACCATTTCTACTATTATTTATATTTTTCTTACACGTGTATATGCTGTGCGTTATTTAAAGTAATCGACAGAACTATTAATCTTATTTTAGGAGTTCTATTTTTTCTATTTTTCTTACACGTGTATATGCTGTGCGTTATTTAGAATAATCGCACGTTTTTTATGTCTCCGTCGTGTCGTCGTGCTGCGTGAGTTTCAGAGTTTTTATATTTTTCTATGAGTTTATTGGTCCTTTGAGGCTTTCTATTTTTCTACCGGCTGTTGTTTTTATCCTGTAGCTGTCGTTTTTTGTACATGATTTCTATCTATTTATTTTATAACTATGTGTAAGGGAGGTTGGGACACTGGGTGTGTAGGGAGAGTTGGGCCCATAAAAGACTCTTTAACCTACCGCCCCGGTTCTCAAGGCTGGGCACCCAGGGTCCTGCCTCTTTCTTTCTGTTTATATGTTATTGTCTGTGTTTTTGTACGCTTGGGTATGTTATTGTCTGTGTTTTGTGTGCTTGGGTGGGGGAGGTTCTTTCTTTCTTTTCCTCTGAGCTAGTATGCTATAAACATGTTTTTTCATGTCCCCCAAGACCTCATACGCACCTTCAGTCGTCCACGCGAGAATTCGCTCATACGCGATTTCACGATTTTCGTGTCATCATCATATTCTTCATCTTCTTCTTCTTCTTCTTCTTCTTCTTCAGACCCGCTAGCTCCTTACCGGAAGCACTTGAAGCGTTGATTTTTTCACAGAACGTCTCCGAATTTGCCGGAGGTGTGCATGCATATCAAGCGATCGTTTCTTTCTTGCCGCAAGTCACTATACGGTAGATCGTTGAGCTCTTCCTCGGTAGTCACTGAACAACGCCATTTGTTGCTAACTCAGCATCAGTGAGCCGCATGCGCCGAGGAGGGCGTTTCCAATGCGGTGCGCGCGCATTTTGTCTCGTAAACCTGGTCCACGAACGAGACTAAGCCAGCACTGGATGCCTTCAGAGAAAACTACTCTCATCCTTCGGTGCCTTCTGTAAGTCAGTGTGCACATTTGTAAGTGGCTAGCTTGCGTTTTGCTGTTGATTTGCACGAGGAGCAACTTGGCAATCTGCGCCGTGTTACGCGTGCCTTGCCAGGCGCCTTCATTCTTTGTCCCCCAGCTATCATTGTAGTCTGATTTCTGAAGCCTGCCCAATTAAACCACCACCATATGTGCCACAACCTAATCGCGTCCTTGTTGGAGACACTGCTTCAGAGAGCAGTCCATTAGCTTCTGCTTTCAACAGTTATCTCTACAACATACCCATGAACATCAGAGTGACTGAAAATGCAGTGTTGTCATATAAGCTGTTAAAAATAGTGGAAACAAGTGGAAAAATCATTTCTTCAAAATGAAAGTAGGATATAGGGATGACCTGAAGCACCAAAAAGGAAGAAACAAGGGGTCATTACACACCAAATATGCACAAAGCCACATGACACCATCCCTATATCTTTGTTTTATTGTTCATAGGCAAAGTTTAATATGAGACAAAGATATAGGGATGGTGTCATGTGGCTTTGTGCATATTTGGTGTGTAATGACCCCTTGTTTCTTCCTTTTTGGTGCTTCAGGTCATCCCTATATCCTACTTTCATTTTGAAGAAATGATTTTTCCACTTGTATAATGTCGCTCTTATCGTGAAGGCTAGCTCATCGTCTGGACCGGAAGCAGCAGAGCGTCTTTCGAGCGAACTCCAGCGCTGCGGGCGACCGGAAAGTGTGGCGTGACACCCTACTTCGTGTATAGAGGCGCTGGATTTTCCGCCGCGCGCAAGTTGCGCGCCAGTGCACGCCTGTAATTAACCGTCTGGGGCTGCTTCCTGGAAAGGTTTTTAACTGTTGTCCACCACAAAAGCCGAGATGTTATAGTATGCTTGTTAACCTGTATCCTGCTCTTCAATAATCATACCTGCACAACCCAAATCTATAATTAACTACTTTCATTACACAGGACTTATTCCTTATGGAGAAGGTATTGGAGATCAGTGCCTTGATGGTACCAAAGAGAGATCATGTAACCAGTTACTAATAGAGTCCGATGTAACTGAAAAACTGCCGTTGAATGTAAATTACACTTTCTACGGTCGTAATTACTCCAGTGTGTATGTAAGTCTTGCAGATTGTTACTGTATTTCAACATTATCGTTCAAAACAACTCAGATATGTGAGAATGGACTGATATCATTTGAGGATTGCAAAGGGTTTTGTAAGAACCAAACGGATTTAAGAGCGTCTTCAGTTCCTGTGATTGCTGGAATCTGGCAAGATATAATTCTTTTTGATTTTCATTCCAGTGGTGGCAATTTTAAAGTCCCTTATGCTTATTACAAAGAAAGAACGAATAATAATGAAAATTCAGGATGCTTTGTGGAAAGCAAAGAAAAAATTGAGCAACATCTTCAACGTGGATTTGGAGAAAGACTGTCATATTTTAATCTAACACACATGTTAATTTCAACCTGGCATGCTATTGACAATACCAATGGCACTGTAAGTTATATACGTAAAGGGAATTTGACTGTAAACATGAAGGCTAAATTTGGGACCACACAATATAGGACCCAGTGAAAAAATGTAATTAGGTTTCAGTTATTTTTCCTCTACTATATAGTGCTCCATTCTCTTTAATCATCTCCAGAACATTGTGTTATAGGCCTTTGTAATCACTGGTACAGGTCCAGATTGTCATAGCAACTGAGGATGGGGAGCGAGATACGTACGCCCTGTTAATATACAATGAATGGAATGTGACTGAGGAGCAGAGAATGCAAATTGGATTCAGTGCAGGTTCACCACAGCCCATTTCACAAACATATCTTTTTTATTTTTAATCACGTTACTCAGGTTGTGATGAGAAATATTTTCCATTGTCGTCTATTGCTGGTACCAGCAACATTGGTGTACCTGGAGTTTATGCATTTCGAATTGACCAGAGAGACATAATTGACCCAAGCAAAGGTAGTAATATTCTGTATAGGTTTATTTTATGAGAGGCACCAACCACTAATAACTTAGCGACCAAATTCCATAGCCTACACTTTTTGACGTCATGCATGTGCTAAGGAAATGCAATAGCGCTTGGTTGGAGATGTCAGACACTGAGGATAAATTATTGTCCATGTAGTACAAGGACAAAGTACAAGTCGTAACAGTTGATATACAAGTCTCCATCAGTAACGTGGCAACAAATGGTTGCCCAGTATAATGAAAAGCACTGAAGAGCAAACCCTCGGCGCACTGTGACGCGCACGCGTAAGTAAACGCATGCGCCGTACCACTAATTGATGGGCTGGGTTTAGTTTTAGCTGTCACTCGTGGTCTCTTCCCAGCTCGCGCAGAGTCTGACGCGGGCTAACTACACTACTAGATAGCATGCGAGAGGCGATACACGCCCTGCGTTGCATCTTCTGGTGCCTCCGAGGTACGCAGAGCACGCGGATCGATCAGACCGCGGTAAGCCGTCCCGTCCGTCGTGTATTTGCATATTAGCTTTTTCGCGCTCTAGCTTTGCAACGGAGCAGTTTCAGAGAAAACCCCACAAAATTTCTGACCTTCATTGCCCATTCAGTGGGTGGTATCCTTTGTGAGACGAAAGAACATTCGAGAAGTGAGATGAAGAGTAACAGACAGACTGACTGACTGACAGACAAACCCAACTACTGTAACCCTCGCTGCGCATGCGCGCCGAGGGTTAATTATTCAGTCACCCAGAACCTCTTAATGGGGCTAAAGCTAATATCAATGCCTTTTAGTCTCAGGCATAGTTGTGAGCACTTCTTCCTTATACCTCTCTCCTTGTTAACACAGGCATAATTCTCTGTCAATAGCAACTTTTCAGCTCAGACATCAGTTTGGATTTCATGAAACCTTACAAAACCTGCCTTGTAGACATCTATACCTCCTTGTAATATTTCGCATGTCGATTATTTTACCCCACAGCAGAAATGCTCATAAATGAGTATTAATCGCATTCATGCTGTTTGCACATGCTTTCTTGCACGCAATTGAATATGTATATTGCTTCTGGCAAGCAAAACGTAAGCGAACATGTAATCAGGGCAACGCCTAGCGCACACGGCAATCTGTGGCAGTCACCCCTGGCTCCTACCTCTGTCTGTGGTTGTTTAGCATTTTTGCTGTTCATGACGGTTGCCAACTTGCCCATGTCGCCAACACTGACTAGGTATATTATAGCAAACAGCATGTGAGTTGGCTCCGTGCTTTGGCGTTAATAAGTAGCTATAGCAGACGGTTTCATTGTCCCACATTGCATTAGTCTCACGGCGCGGAGCATTTGGCCCTGCAAGACTAGCATCAGCAGTATCGTGAACCCAGTTGGAAAAGAAATTCCTTTAGTTGTCGCAACAGCAAGGAATGGAGTCGCCTTCCTCGTTGCTGTTAGCAGCAGTATTGACACCATATCACGCTCTAAACAAGGAAATTCTTTCGTCATGATGGAAGGGATTGAGCATAATCAAGGGAGCCTTTTAGAAAAAAACAACTTTATTTTACCCACAAACCACTTGTGTTAAATGCGAGCATTTAGTAAAACCATTATAGCTGACCACGGACTGTTATTACACAAAGAACGAATGGCAACGCATTTAGCGCGAGCACAATGCAGTGGTAATTCTAAACACTGTTCTATGAAAGTGCTGGCGATAGATGCACTTTCCAAGAACGCAAGACGATAGATGTGTTTAGAACATTGATTGCTAATGATGGCTTTTGGTGTTGCTATTATCATTTGCAGCAGTTGGTTGTGGAGATCTCCCTGACCCACAGAATGGCAAAGTAAAATACACCTCTACTATTCTCAATTCCTTGGCAAACTATACCTGCACTGCTGACTGTGATTTTATGCTCACTCGAGAGTGTCTGACTAATGGCAGTTGGTCGGGGAGAGAACCTGAATGCCCAGGTGAGCAGCTAAGATACAATCTTCAACTTACACCCTTAAAAAGATAGAAATTCGAAGGTGTATCAAAAATGTGGTCCTGATTTATTAACTCTTTGTCTTTTCTGGTGGATCTGGCCTTTACTTCAAAGAAATCAGCTACACTATAATTGCATGTTGCATGCGCAGCAAGGGTTACAGTAGTTGGTTTGTCTGTCTGTGTGTGTCGAAAACAACACAACCACACCCAGGACATTACGCTATATGCTCAACACCTTTATGTATTAACTGACCCCATTATGAACAATGAAATTCAAATCTACCTGTGCAGATGTCGCCTGCCGTGGTCTTGAAAGCTGTCATCCAGAAAATGGTTGGTTGAGCCTTATAAGTGAGTCTCAAGGTCTGGTGGCAAAGTACGGCTGTGAACTTGGTTACATTCCCAACAACACAAGAGACACCAGGCACTGTGAGTGTGGGAGCTGGTCTGGAGATGAAATACGCTGTGAAGGTAGGAGGGCTAGCTAATTTTTGGAATTTTCAAAGCGAGCTTAGCTACCTGTAGTTGTCTGAATGTGTGACTTAAGGCATGGCCCACACCACCAAATACAGTATATAGCTAATCCGAACAAAATTTTGCTCCCGTGTTGCTCAACAAAAAGTGAAATCAACGTTCATCCATATGTTGTACCTATTTTCAGAAATGTGTCCTGAAGTGGGTCAAGATAAGGAATGTGGTAAACGTAAGTCTTCTGAATATTGCTGTTTTTTTGGTATTGTTTGTGAAAAAATGAATAGATTCACAGATCCTAGCATGTGATAGCCGAAAAGACGGAATCAGTAACACATCTAAATTCCATCTCAACGGATCATATGAATTTTTCCAAGAGCCTTTGAGAAGTATACAGGCAAGTGAGCAATGAATTCATAGCTCTACCAGTTAGGTCTGTTTCCATAGGTGTACGATAATGGCTCAGTGCATTTCAATGACGGCTCTCTCACAATAGTGGTACTTAATGTCACCAAAAATGATGGAGCTCATTTCTTTTACGATTGGGAAATGAGTAACCCTCATTATTTCAACAATCAGAAGCGGTACGTAAAGTGTCTTCTAAACATGGCAATGGAAGATTTCAACCTCAAACACATGTTTATCGTAACTTGGAAAGACTATTGGTTCCATGATAAATCAAAGGTAAATGGATCCACCACAATGTCACTGAGTAACAATAATTTTCTGACAACAGATCACATTTCAGCTTGCTATAGTGTCAGACTCATCTACAACACATGCCCTGTTTCTCTATGGTGATATAAACTTAGAGGATACACCAGTTCTAACAGGACTCCGAGCAGGTAACCATTACTGTCTTTCTTCACATAATACCCAAAGATGACATACACAAATAGGGATCCTACGAGATAGGGACAACAACTACAAAGAACACTTGTTTTAACCTCATGCTATTACTTTAGTGTATTATTTGAGGGAGGACCTCTCTACAAGGGACAAAATCGATGACCCTATAATGTACAAGGTTCCACTGTAGTCTATTGCCTAACAAATTGTAAATACTTAACTAGCAGCCATAGACTGCATTCACGAGCAGAATCAACAACAGTGTTGTCTGTGATTCATAAGTGCCACTATCTCCACCCAGAGGATGCTCCCTGCCATGGTCAAACCTTCTACCACTTCCCTGTGAACCCACTGCACGAGACTTCATCAGACATTGGGATCAGTGGAGCATACATTCTTAGAATTGATGAAATACCTGGAGGTAAGTACTAGACACAACAATTTTTTGGCGACGAAGCCACTCTGTTGTAATTTATATCTCCTGTATAATTATAGGGATCCACTGCAACTGTAGCATTGATGAGTTTGTGAACCCTGCTAATGGGGAGGCTGATATAATCAACACTTTGAGAGCAAGTTGGGCAGTATATGACTGCAGAAGGGGGTTCTCAATGACTGGAGACAACCCCCGACAGTGTATCAATGGTATATGGATAGGAACAGCCCCTGAATGCAAAAGAAGTAAGCGGAATTTAGAGTGTGTGATATAAGTTACAACGAACATATGTGAACCAATTATGGAGAGCTATCCGAGAAGTAGTTGCAGTTCATTTGCTTAATACCTACCGTATTAATATTGACAGTGCACACAAGTGTCATAAGAAGGAATGGCTCAAAGGTTGGCAAGGCACACACGACAATATACTATGCCTCTTTCTTTGTCTAGTCAAATAAGTCTTGTGTATTTACTTCTAGGTAAGCCTAGAGATGGCGTAGTTGCTTCGTTACTAAGATGAATGCAGGGCATTTTTAATGAGCGATATAAGTCACACGCAGGCATGCATGGGGCATTCTAAAGTAGACAAAACTGCAAAAAAATGCGATTTAAAGCACTCATGGTTGATCAGTGGTGTAATTACCTATATAGAATTAAGGATTCGTCTTGTGGATCCAGAGAGTGGGCAAGAGACATTAAAATCAGGTCTGGTAGAGGTGTTGAGAGACCCAGAGTGGAGGTCAGTGTGTGATGATTACTGGACATATGAGGATGCCAATGTAGTCTGCCGACAACTTGGTTTCTTGGGATTTGGTGAGTATATTCCACTCTGCAATTAGTTCACACTGCATTACATTACTTACAATTATATTCCCTGCTTTACCACTTACTATTTGAATGTGTATAAAACATATATATTTTTGGCAGGTGCTGAAACAATTCGCAGATTACCCTTCCGTAAGAATGAGCCCAGACGATACTGGCTGGATGATGTTAAGTGCAATGGAGATGAGTCGTCTCTGTTTGATTGTCCACACAGAGGTTGGGGGGTCCATAACTGTGGTCGAAGAGAAAGAGCAGGAGTAAAGTGCCTCAGTAAGTGAACGCTTAAGCTAGGTTTAGAATATGGCACATTGCCCCGTCGCGCCGTGCCGTATGGCGTCCTGCCGAGAAGATAGAAATGGAGTCTATCCTAGCAGCGCGACAACGCGGGGCGCGATGGGCCAATGCGACATATTGTGAACCTAGTCCTATACTCTAGAAGCATCTATTGCTTTGCTATACTACCTTTCTACTGTGTCTACTTTCAGATGAGAGTGACATTGACATACATATAGTCAATGGTGATATGTCTGGTGCTGTTGAACTGTGGATGGGTAATGAGTGGAGGTCACTGTGTTGTAACCACTGGACTAGCCAGGATGCCAGAGTAGCTTGCAGGCAACTTGGACACTCTGCTGATGGTATGGTCTGAAATGTGTCAGTATAATATATACAAGGGCTAAATTAATTAGAACGTGTTACTATATTTACGTTTTTGCACTGGGCCCTAGTTCAAAAATGAGCACTTGTCCTCTATTCAGAACCAATCAGATTGCGCAATTTAAATTACTTAGCTCTATATTCATATACCAGAAGGTCATTATGTTCATCTTCGTTACACAGGTGCCATGACTATGGAGGTTAAAGCTGAGAATGATGCTAAATACTGGATGGATCATGTTAACTGTGATGGAGACGAAGAGTATCTGTTTGCCTGTACTCACCTAGGGTTCACGGATGAGGATAATGAATGCAAGAAAGGAGTCAGGGCTGGGGTGACTTGCCTTGCAGAACCTTAGAGTGGTGCACTGTATGAAAACTGATCTCCAATTTATCAGTACTATAATAATTATACGTGCACAAACAACACACATACTAAGTTGACATGGTCAACATTTATAGTTACACAACTGTTGTCTTTTCTCTGTAACCCAAAATTTTTTTCCAGATTCATATTTTTTGCTGTTACCATAAATCACGTGCCCATGTATTAGCTCTTGATCAATATGAGAATGGGCTACCTTATAACTCTTTAATCAAGAATTCCAGTCATTTTGGAGAATAATATTTCTTGCCTATGATACTTTCACTTACGGAAGGTCTAAAAAGGTGCCTGTGTATTTCCTGCACTATATCTGCACTCGTAGTCATGATTGTCTTGTCATAAAAACTTGTCATCTTCTAATCATTCTCTTCTTCTGTCTGCTACATCCCTATATGAGTCGGGCCTTTGGTATATATATACGGAGGTGTTACATGGTCACAAAGCATGTATATATCCTCGCATTGCATGGGCAGGTGGTTATGGTGGTAGTTAGCCAACACGGTGAGGCAGAAAGGCAAAGGCAAAGCAAACAAGTCAACTTCACCCAGGACAACTCAAGTAAAGAGAAAGAGCTGCCCCTGGCAGGATCGAACCCACAACACTCTGCCGTCTAGGCGAGCGCTCTACCAACTGAGTTACCAGGGCAACTCGCCTCGTAGGGGTTCAAAATGTATGGGACATTCCAGTGATGTGCGTGCTGCACTACTAACCTCTTGTATAACTTCCACATTGTTAATTTGTGAGAATAATCAGTTATTGTATCGGTTGATCATCAGCATTATCAAGAGCTGTGCTTTGGAGGAATCTCTACTATTATATACCTTTTCCCTTTACCATTCAGAGGTGGTTTAGATTACTAACGCTGAGGTTTTGAAGTGAGGAAATTTTTTTCAGGCCATGTGACCTAACCATAACACTCTGCTTGACGTTGACTGTAAGTATGACACGAAGAAGCTATATACAGCAACAAACACCCTAACCTCTTCATTCTGCTCTCACTCACCCCACACACAGCTGTACTATACAAGTGTAATTGAAAAGGGATGGCACAGAGCATAAAGAAACAATATATAGTGGCACACAAGAGGTTTACTAAGAACATATACATACTAAGTGACCCTAAACAACTCTAGCCTAAGGCTATAAACAAGAGTGTCAAACAAAGTGATGCGCGTATAGCCATTGCTATGAAACAATTTGGGCAGCCCTGTTAAAACTATGGGTCATGGTAATTGGATTAACATTAGTAGGAAATGCAAGACCCCTTTCAAGCTCCCCCACACGCACATTATCATTCCCTAGAGGCAGCTCTGCACATTCCAAGGAGGGTGCCATGCAAAAAGCGGGAACAAGCAAAGTATATTAATTACCACCACAGCTATTAGCTGTTGCATAGAGCTTGACCTGGCTATGTGACCTGTATATATTGTTTTGAGCCAATGATCGGAACTTCACCTACCTTCATTTTACCACATAATATTGGCCGCTTCTGACTTCTAAGATGTGTTACAAGTAGACTATAGCTACATGGTGTTTCTGTATACAGACGATGCCACAATGGATACATACTCAGCTATACATAATAATAATGGTGCCTAACATACACACGTATGATACACATGCAGCCAGAATCACACAGTTGCCATATGGCTATACAATGTTAGTGTCATCGTTCACAAGATGTCTATTATAGGCCTTGGAAGAGGCACGTTTTGAAGCATGCTCTAGATTTGACTTAGCACTTATGTCAAAGCTTCACAGACGCAGTGAGTCACGAAGTGCCATTGGGATGTGAAGTCAATACTATCTCCCAAAAGAAAAAAGTGTCACTGGGGGATAGTGGTGGGAGGTCTCACCTGCAGCGTTGCAACAAAGGACACAGATGTTCATTATTCCATTATCAAAACAGTGCATAGTAAGCATTGTTTTAGAAGGACGAGTCACGTTCAC